TGTGCGTGTGTGTGTGCGTGTGTGTGTGCGTGTGTGTGTGCGTGTGTGTGTGCGTGTGTGTGTGCGTGTGTGTGTGCGTGTGTGTGTGCGTGTGTGTGTGCGTGTGTGTGTGCGTGTGTGTGTGCGTGTGTGTGTGCGTGTGTGTGTGCGTGTGTGTGTGCGTGTGTGTGTGCGTGTGTGTGTGCGTGTGTGTGTGCGTGTGTGTGTGCGTGTGTGTGTGCGTGTGTGTGTGCGTGTGTGTGTGCGTGTGTGTGTGCGTGTGTGTGTGCGTGTGTGTGTGCGTGTGTGTGTGCGTGTGTGTGTGCGTGTGTGTGTGCGTGTGTGTGTGCGTGTGTGTGTGCGTGTGTGTGTGCGTGTGTGTGTGCGTGTGTGTGTGCGTGTGTGTGTGCGTGTGTGTGTGCGTGTGTGTGTGCGTGTGTGTGTGCGTGTGTGTGTGCGTGTGTGTGTGCGTGTGTGTGTGCGTGTGTGTGTGCGTGTGTGTGTGCGTGTGTGTGTGCGTGTGTGTGTGCGTGTGTGTGTGCGTGTGTGTGTGCGTGTGTGTGTGCGTGTGTGTGTGCGTGTGTGTGTGCGTGTGTGTGTGCGTGTGTGTGTGCGTGTGTGTGTGCGTGTGTGTGTGCGTGTGTGTGTGCGTGTGTGTGTGCGTGTGTGTGTGCGTGTGTGTGTGCGTGTGTGTGTGCGTGTGTGTGTGCGTGTGTGTGTGCGTGTGTGTGTGCGTGTGTGTGTGCGTGTGTGTGTGCGTGTGTGTGTGCGTGTGTGTGTGCGTGTGTGTGTGCGTGTGTGTGTGCGTGTGTGTGTGCGTGTGTGTGTGCGTGTGTGTGTGCGTGTGTGTGTGCGTGTGTGTGTGCGTGTGTGTGTGCGTGTGTGTGTGCGTGTGTGTGTGCGTGTGTGTGTGCGTGTGTGTGTGCGTGTGTGTGTGCGTGTGTGTGTGCGTGTGTGTGTGCGTGTGTGTGTGCGTGTGTGTGTGCGTGTGTGTGTGTGTGTGTGTATATATATATATATGTATTTTTTTTTAACTGGATGAAATTTAGGGCTGGAGAATTATGGGAAAAAAATATTTTTTAACGATTATTTTATATACAATAAAAATGCTGTTACAAAAGGTCATTGTGTTGGTATGTTAATTCCTGCGTGCATAGCAAATACCGTACCTCAGAATGAAAACATATTAATGCCAGTTGGCGCACACAGAAAAAAACCCGTGAGTACTACTACATATCAATAGACTGAACAGTGAGCATACTGCATCACATGCATACACTGGAGAGTGCTGTAACAAAGTCTGTCTGGGGAAACTTATAATAATAAAGATAACTATAAAAAAATTAAACACTTGTGTGAACTCAAATAAAAAGATGGAAAAAATGGGAAAGAGTGCAAAGCAATCAGGCAGCGGCAGCGCACAGGGGCTGGGCTGCCTGCGTGCAGGCAAACAGACAGAGGATTTGGCACAGATCAGAGGAGAACACACCAGACGAAGGCTACGCTCGCGGTTTCGGCAGGAGGTCCTGCATACCTCCTGCCAATACCACGTTGCTGTTTTTAATATTTCCTGTCTTTTATTTTGTTCATTTCCTCGTTACAGAGAGCACAAAGATTGTAATAGTGTCATTCCATGTCCAAATAGGAGTTTAATGAGCACACAACTGTGTGTGCGCGTGCGTATGCTCGTGCTTTTGGACACGAGTGGGTTTCTAGCCTTTTAGTTTTTCACTTAAATGTGGGTGAATATTATTTTCTATATTTGATTTTTATACATTTTTATTTCTATGCATGTAGCAAGTTGCAATGTATTGACTTCAAATACATGCCAATTGTTTTAAAAATATATAGTTTTTATTATTCAATGAGCTTTTATGAAAATATTTTCCACTACAGATAAAACAATAAAAAAATCCAAAGTACTTTGCTGAGTAACTAATTCCTTTTACAACACAGTAACTGTTCGTAGTATTTCTAACTTCTCTCTAGGTCTGAGCGCACACAGTTTGTCATTTGTTTTGTTGATCTGATTAGCAAGTCATGGTAGTGATAGCCAGTTTTCATGGTGCGCAACCTTTTCCATTCACTTTTTTTTTCTTTTTCCAGATGTAATTGTGGTTTTGCATTGCCTGACTGCCAAAACGTTTCGTGGTTTTCTTTTCAGCATTGTTAGAAAACTTTGTTGTCAAGAGTTTTACTGCCTCGAAGTGGGCAATACCATTTGGCCAAGAAGGGTTGACATGTTTAGATTTTGGGTGAATCCAAGAACCGTTGTCAATTTTGGACATGAACATTTCTCATATTTTGATTACTTTTAACACAACCAAAGGACTGATCAGTTCCACTAAAAAAACAATTTAAACAATTTACTTCCAACCACCAAGGTTTCTACCAGCAGCAACACTCTGTTTTGTAGTAGGCAGGGGCGAATATTAGATTCTGACGGTATAACCGTCAGGAAAAATATTGCGGTATTTAAGATGACTGCTCTTCTTCTTAGCAAGTCACAGCTTCCCATCACTGGTGAGCTATTTTTGGAACAGACTTGTGGGCTACTCATTTTGTCCTGGGGAAACAATGGCATAGATACCTTTTTGTTATTTTGTGTGTTTGTTTTAATGACAGTGCAAAGGCACCCGTGTAACACTATCTCTTTCGTCTAACACCCCCTCCTCCTCCGTTGCATAACTACTTGCAAAGTAGGAGGGGAAAAAAGTTCATCGGGGAAATGAACTTGACAAACGCGGTGACACTGACAGGCACAGCTCAGGCGAAGGCTGTAGTGAATTTTTTTTTTGTCACTAAAAAGAAACCATTGTCGGACAAAAAAAAGAAATGTATTTCGACTAAGATGACAAGATGAATGTCATGGCGCTACGCTTCACCATGTTTTTCTCCACCTTAAAAACCTCAGCTACACCATCAGCGCCTCCAGCAGAAGTCTCAAGTGAACCAAAAGCCTACGAGCCAAGTGAGAGGCACCTTCTACGCCACCAACACAAGCCTCTTCACCTCTCTCAGGAGGCAGTGTTGCTGAATGTTAATTACTGTGTACGGTTTTACAATTAAAGATTTAAGTAAATACGTGAACTGTACTTTTTCACACCACTGTACATCCACCTAACTGGTCTGTCGTCAGCTGCCTGTAGTCTCAGACCTTCACCAACAGAGCATGCTAACATGCTGTAGAACAGCTGTGAAATCCCAGTTCACATTCAACTGTATGCAAACATTATATCCACATACACAAACACAAAAATTCCTAGGGGGACAGCAAATCTTAGTGTTTTTTTAAAAAAATTTTTTTAACTTTTCGTGGGGGGGGGGTGTCTGGTACCAATTAACCGCGAAAAACGAGGGATTACTGTACATCATTGTATCGACATCTTATGGTGACTGACCAGAGAGCTTTACACACACACATAAACTCACATACATTTCACAGGAGCACACTCGCGGCTGCCTGTCACTGTACTAACTCGTAAAATGGCCAAAGGTTTAAATTCAAAGTTTAAATTGGTTTACTTTAACCATAATCCCGCTCCCCAATGTGTAAAATCCAATCCAAGTAACACGCAATCCTGCTACTGTCTATAAATGCTCGTCGTCATCTGCTTCTTCTCGTTTCTTCTTCTTCTTCTTGGTTTATTGGTGGATTCCAGGTCTTTACTGGATACCGCCACCTACTGTACAGGAATCGCAAAGCATTTATATATATGTAGTCGATGGAAGCAACCCCGCTTCTACTCAGCCCCGTGAACAATCACATGAAACGAGCGGGGCATGTTTCTTTCAGCAAAATGGGCGTCCATGAGTGCCAGACTGAGAAGTCCGTCTATATTTGATCTGATTAGTGCCGATTACAATGACGGACGAAAATCCACCTTCTTCGATGCTTAGTCTGTCAAGTTTCCCATTTGTCATTCGTCAGCAAAACAGACATCCATCGGTGATGGACTAACTGACCTTCTGTTAGTATTGACTGAATGCCCACCTCCAGTTATTAAGCCAATGATTTGTCGTCCTCGGCCACATGTGCTGCCGGATTGCAGAGCACAACTTCACCCTCATTAATTAATGGCCTCCCTTTTTTGGAGGCACTATGAATAACCTAACAGCACATTTGAGCAACTTTCTGAGTTTCCAAATGGTCTGAGTGAAGTAGTGTTTCAGAACGCACCCACGATGAGATAACAGGGATTTTGGGTGCGACATTTTTGACTGATCTGTCGTAGAAGGAATAAAAATAGCAAGAAACCCCACAAATTATCGAGGTCAAACTGCAATCGATTAAGATATGGTCACAAATGAAAAGTCACAATAGAGCTTAGTTTCTTAACCGGGGTATGATGGAGCCTCTGTCATGGAGGTTTAGACACAACCGACTCAACATGCCAGTTATGATACGCCCGCTTGGCCATCACTGGCTGCAGATGATCACATTACATTGCTTGTCCAATCAGTGCTGCGGGAAATTTACTTTGCTCAGTAGTCAACGTGTGACTGTTCTGATAGTGCGTCATGTGATTAAAAAAAATTTTTTTTTTTAGAATGTTTTAATACATGCTATGTTGAGCAAAAAAAGTGGTCGGACGAATATGCCATGGATTCACATGCATCACAGAACGTGATGGGACTCGGCGTCCTATCTGCATGATTTGTCATGCCAAGTTGAGCAACTCTTGTCTCGCACCAGCAAAACTGAAGGAACACTACTTGAATCAGATTTTTATTTTTCACTAATGAAGGGTTTGGTGAATGTGCAAATGAATTGGTTAGGTTCGGTACCTCTAACAAGGTTAAGAACCACTGCAATAGAGTTAATCCACAATAACCGAACCAAGGGAGGGAATGCTGCTTGCATTTAGAGGTCACACCTATAGACACAATTATACTCTGTATTACATATAGTGAATGCCTGGTTAAATGTATACTGTAGGCAAGTAGTTTAAATTTCAAATGCCCCCTCCTTTAATATTACTTTGCAGCTCCTGACACATATACTTGTCCTTTTTTTGCAGATGACTCCATAGCTGTCAAGGCTGCGTGCTACATCCTGATTGGAGTCGGCACTTTTGCTATGCTTTTGGGCTTCCTCGGCTGCTTGGGAGCTATTTATGAGATCCGCTGTCTGCTTGGCCTTGTGAGTGGGGAGTTGAAATTATATAAATGATGACAGTATCATCAATCAATATCAAAGTATCACTTTGTTGTGATAAGTGAGAGCAGAATACATACAGAGAGAGTTATTAAAAATCAAGTCATTTCAAACTGAACTGTAAGATCTTCAAGGTCATAAAAATGTGTCTGTAAAAAAAAAAAAACTCAACTGTCGATTGATATGTTATTTTGTATTCTTTCTTCTCTTCCACTCAGTACTTCACCTGCCTCTTGTTGATCCTCATTGCTGAGATTGTAGCTGGCGCCCTCATCTACTTCCAGAAGGGTGTGGTAAGCGACATATTATGTGGTGTTACTCTTCACAGCCATCAACAAACAGCCATCGACGTGAATCGAAAGCAAAACCTACCAACTCAACCGCACATCATCTAAGGTCAAACCTAAGAATGGTACTCTAATTGAAATAGACCAAAATTGGTTGTTGTGACTAAGCATTTCCAACTAAAGAGCAAGAGCTGCAAAGAATGTTCCAGTTTCAAGTTACATAATTGCATCTGCAAATGATTGTTATACAATAATATCACTTTTAGTTCTGTTGTCAACAATTTCAAATCAATGACAGGAACTTTTTGGGGCTCGTTTTTTTTAAGCTGTCACACTATTCTAATGGCAAATGGTGGCCATGTGTTTAGTGACCAAGTACTTACATTTGTATTGTTTGAAACGAAGTGGAAAAACTCTTGAAGCAGAAGTTGTCCAACCTCCTTAGAACAAGCCGAATGAATTCTGTCTCCCATTTGGAAGTGTCAGCTCGCTCTCTTTCTCAATGAATTTTGAGACAAACCCTCACCGGGCTGGTGGGTCGTCAGTTGGAAAAATCTGTTTCTCAATGGAAAGCACAGTTTGTTGAAGTTCCTGAGTGTCTCACTTCGCAAAGTAATTATCAGATCGAAGGGAAATGAGAATTTGCAAGAGGTACCCAGTTGCCTGCAACTCCTGCAAATCAGAAAGTACAGGGTTTTTTTTCACAAAGGTGAAATGTTAACAGCGACAGAAGTGACATCAGTCTGAACAGTGACAAACATCAATCAACTACATCATATCGCCAGCCTCTTAAAATAACAGCCAAAATCATACTTTGTCTCCCGATTTTTTTTTTCCCTTAAACGTCACCTCAGGATGTTGCCCCCGCCTCTGAAAACAATCGTCTACATCAGGGGTGCCCAAACTTTTTTGACCGAAGATCTGCTTCAAGCAACCTCCCGGGATCGACCCGTTACCGTGCACGCGCGCATACGCACGCATATACACACGCATAATGCCATGATGAGCAATAGCCTGACGCTGAGGCACACGACGCACTTTGGCAGCCTGTTAATGATCGTAGCTCACGCGTACCGTTTTAAAATGCTTCTCTCAGCCCTCCAGATTCCCATTCTTTGGCCGTCCCCTCAGACGTATGGGCTGAATTGTACAAAACAAACTCTGAATGAGAATAATGAAAACGATAAACGATCGAGCGCAACAACTCTGAGCATAAGCTGCAACTGCAGACTGCTGAGCGCTAACAACTTCCTGGTGACGCAGTCACACGTCACCGTAGGTTCAAGATGACCTGCTTATTTTATTGAATGATTAGGGTGCAGTGTGCATTAACACAAAAAATATATTACTAACATGCACAGAGACACAAATGTTTTTATTTTTCCTCTACACCCCTCGGATCGATTTGGGACCAGTCCCTGATCTACTGGTCGATCATGATCGACGTAATGCGCACCCCTGGTCTATATCCTTAGTTCAAACACATCATCCATTTCGATCCCTGAAATGAAATGATTATCGAATATGATCGTGATCGACGTAATGTGCACCCCTGGTCTACATCCTTAGTTTAAACACATCACCCATTTCGATCCCTGAAATGAAATGATTATCGAATATTACCCAGTCAGAAATTGGTTCAGTATTTTAGGAGGGTGATGATATGAAAAGATTCTTTGACAGTTTACGTCATGTGGAGCGAATTGTCTTTGACATCATAAGGTACGGCAACCTGTTTTTTTCCCCCCAGTTAAATGAAGAGATGTCCAAGATTGTATCCAAGGTCCTGGACAACTATCCAGGCAACAACTCGACCACAGAGCAGGCGTGGGACTTCATTCAACGAAATGTAAGCGATTACAAGTCACATCTCTCTCAAATTTTACCAGTTTTTTAACACTAGGTTTTGTCATTCAACGCAAAACATGACAAAAACATTTATGCCACTTGCATAGATTTTCAGTTGCAAATAAATGGTGAGGTTTTTGCAACGTTTCATGAGGGCTTGGGTTAAGTCTTTTCTAGTACAGGTAGTCTAAAAACTATTAAACTGGAAGTTGACCAAACGATGACAGAAGGCTGTCAGTTACTCGTGGTACACAATCAAGCTCCACCCTTACTAATTTAACCACGTTGGCTTCATAATATACTACCATATTTCCTGCACTAAAAGACGCACTGGATTATGAGGCGCACCTTTCATGAATGGCCTATTTTGTAATTTTTTTCATATATTGGACGCACCGCATTATAAGACGCAATCTACAATGCATCCACTAGATGGAGCTACACTTAAGGAAATGCCAAAAGAACTGTAGAAACGCCACTCGAGTCAAGCGCGCCTCTCAGCAGTCCATAGTCCGCAGCTCTGTGCTGTGCGTGTGTGCGCGACGTGGTTCAACCAATCAGCTCCAACGCAACCCACGTCAAAGATCAAAGAAGCTTCAAACAAACGACAACAGCTCAGATAGCTTAGCTGTTGAGTGGCGTTGCTACAGAACGATCAAATGTCAGTAAAACTTATTTAATAAAGCAGCGACACAGCTCACTTAACCAACAGCAAGTTATAAAATTGACTTGTTAACATTGAACTCTCTTTCCGCTGCTCTATTTCCATGTTCAACTGCGTAACCCGATCGCCTTAAGTTTGATATCTGTTGTAAGCATGTCTCTAGCAAGGAGCCATTTTGGGGTTGACATATTACACAATAACCATACACAAGGCGCAATGGATTTTAAGGCGCGCTGTGAGCTTTTAAGAATGGAAGGCTTTTAGATGCGCCTTTTAGTGCAGAAAATACAGTATATAATTGGGAAAAAAATGAGTACACGTTGGCCGACTGATTAGCACGTCCACCTCACAGTGCAGAGGTGCAGGGTTCGATTCACGGCTTCAGCCTTCCTGTGCGGAGTTAGCATTTTCTCCCCATGCCCACGTGGGTTTTCTCCGGGTACTCCAATTTCCTCCTGTGTTCCAAAAATATGCACAGCAGGTTAATGGAAGACTCTAAATTGTAGTGAGGGGTGTGAGTGTGAGCGTGGATGTTTGTTCGTCTGTGTGTGCCCTGCGATTGGCTGGCAACCAATTGAGGGTGTGCCCCTCTCCCCTACTGCCCGAAGGCTGCTGCCATAGGCTCAAGCACGCCCACGACCCACGTGAGGATAAGCGGATTAGAAAATGCATGGATGGTTGGAAGGTGACCAGAATTGGACCATGAGGCAGTGTTAAAATGGGCAAGAAAAATAATTTAGGGCCCAGAAGCAGGAAGGACAGATGAAAAATGCAAATAATCCCCCCTCGGCTGGACTGGTGCATGACAGCTCAGTACTTGCGGAAGAGACCAACAGCACGAGGGACTCAACAACTCATCCAAAGAGTTCATTGTGCCAATAGTGAAATAATCAGATTTCAAACTTGACTTCCAGAGAGACCAAATCACATGCATACAAAGACAATTTTGGAAATGTGTTTTGGAGGTGTATTTCATGCCTGCTGTCTGCAGATGGAATGCTGTGGCTGGAATGGTCAAAGCGACTGGAACGGAAACATGGTGATCATCAACAGTTCGCAGCTTCTGTTTCCGTGCTCGTGCCGCAACTCCTCCCTCGCGACCGGAAACGTCTCCGAGAGCGGATTCTGCGAAGCTCAGACACCCGACTGGCCCGTATACGACACGGTAACGTGCCTGTTGGATCTTCTTGCTTATGGTTTGGACTGATACGTGAAATCATCTTCTGGCGTTCTCTTCAGGGTTGCGCTGTCAGCGTAGAGAGCTGGCTCCTCACCAACATCGGGGTTGTCCTGGGAATCTGTATTGCAATCGCTTTTATTGAGGTAAACGTGACCTCCTTCACTGTAATTCAAGTTCTTAATGGTAGTGTCAAGTAAAGGGGTGCTACTGATCGAGATGCCTCCCCATTTCTTCACATAATTCCTTTTTTTGTTCCTCTGACAGCTGCTGGGGATGATTCTGGCCATCTGCTTGTGCAAGAATATTCACAGGGAGGACTACACCAAAGTGCCAAAGTACTAAAGTTCACCACACTGAGTTTGGCTTGAACTGGAGCTAATAAGGCATTTATCCAGTCAATTTTCGGTTGAAATGTTTTGTCAAAATGTAAACTTATGTGTTTAGCTTTACATTTAGTTGAATCCCTCTTAGGAGGTATGTTTTTCTCAGACCGGTCTTGCTTGAAGCACTTTAGAAAAGTTTTGCTTTTAAACTTTTGATCCGAGAAGTGATGTTGCAAATGTTTTGACTGGTTTCGAGGAACCTGCGGGAGTTGAAAAAAAAAGAAAAAAAAAAAAGAATTACAAAGATGTGTGGTCAGCTGCTGGTCCCGTGATCGGTATGGCATTCTTAAAGTTTGGTTTTTACTTTTTAAGTTTCATTTTTGAGATTCTGCAGCCGATTTACGCAGCTGTCAAATCCTTCAAATGTCATGTTTTTTTTTTTAATATACCAGCATTGTGTATGATTACTTTGTATATAATTTAATTTAGTATTTCTTTGAGCTTGACCCTAAAGTACTTCCGCGTTTATCAATGCAAGCTGGTTGCTCATTGTACTTTGAAAATGTTCATTCTCTTATTTTGAAACTTATTGGCTGCAACAGAAGTAATGTGATACTGAAGAAAAACATTAAGTGATTTCTAATGAGGATGAGCAGGAACATACACAGACTTGTTTACTTTAAACTTGCCATGAGCAAAGTGGGTAGAATTGATTTACATTTTTTTTCCTACAGATTTTGAAATTGTTTTATACTGCAATTTATTTGTACCGGTAATCCAATTTTAACTTTTCACCCGAGAACATGTGGTATTTTTGGTTTGTATCAATTTCTCATCCACTATGTACAGTGAGTAGAAAAACACCCCACATTAACTCTCTAATGGTGTTCTTAAAGCTATGTCTTTTCTTTTTTTTTTTTTTTTTTGTAACAATGTAGACGGGTCTGGTATGAAGAATTTTGGACTCACAACATTCATTCAATTCTGTTTCTTTTGCCAATAACGTTATTGTCATTGGATGAAGTCGAAATGCCGGGTACTTTTTGTATGTCCGACGTAACCTAATACTTCTGCGACTTCACACACCGCCATGTTGGTGCATCGTTTTCAAAGCGCATTGGGTTTTTTTTTTTCCTTTCTTATTGAGTGCTTGAATAAAGAATACTCCTCATCTCAACCACCATCCAATTTCTGTCTGTGGCTCTCCAAGAAACACAATTCCACACCACTGGTTTTTGTACTTCTGTGTCAAATTTAGTCCAGTTTGGCACATGAGAAATGATGCTTCACCCTCTAGGTGGCACCAAAAGTTAATAAGGCAGGATGACACGGATGAGAATCAAGTTAAATCTGGGGCGGGCAATTCCGGTCCTCGAGGGCCGGCATCCTGGATTTTTTTTATGTCTCCCTGCTCCAACACTTGATTCAAATGATCAGATCATCGTCAAGATCTGCAGAAGATGGATTACGATCCTGATCATTTGAATCAGGTTGTGCTGGAGCAGGGGGACATATAAAACATCCAGAATAATGGCCACCGAGGACCGGAACAGCATGAGTCAACTGGTTCTCAAAAATCCTTTGTCTGAAAACCAACAAGTCAGTCAGTTTTCATGCTACTGTCTTATTTTTATCAACGTTGACAATACCATCTTATCTTAAAAGCATACATCATCTGACATTTAAAGTAACGCACGCGTTTGTTCAACACACATTCCAGAAGCTGCCTGGAGCCAACTAGTCGAGGGAATCTCTGCCAGAACTCTGCAAGTATCATCAGTTCATCGTCATCATCAGAACACACTTCTCATCAGAATACAATTCACTTAGCGTTATCCCGCAACCAGACCTGTTCTAAGATTTTAACTGCATGTGCAGCACTATTTCCAGAATTTTTGACAGTACATCTTCATCAAGGCCAGGTTTCCTGAGCAAGGTTTGCACCACAACATGTTTAAAAGAAATGGGGATCTACATCAGAAGAGAGACTGCTGTTGATAATGGCCAAGACTGATTTACCAAAACTCAGGAGAACCTCCTTTTTGAACCAAGAGGTGAGGGAACGCAAAGCTCATTTAAGGCATAAGAGAACCAACCATCAGTGAGTGAGTTAAAAATTTGGAGGTTGCACTCCGGAGCAACAGATTTAACAGCGGCATGAGAAAATGCGGCATCAAAGGAAACTGTCATGTGATCGAAAATCACATAGTCCAAGACTTTCTCAAGTCTGACACCAGTAGACCCTAAGTAAGAACTAGGTCTAAAGTATGTGTCAGGCTGGTCTCATATTGCACCAAATTAAAAGAATAAGTTTTAAAAAGTTGTGGTTTGCTGACCCCTAGTCCAGGATGTATCACTCGACTTACTCAAAGCAGCTGGGATAGGCTTTTGCACATCTGCGACCCTAAAGAGAATAAGCCTAGACAAAACCAATCGTTTAAAAAAACACTTCCTGTTTGCGTCACATCACACTTGCACTGAGACAGCAGTTTTAAAATGCACGCATTTTTATTTAGGAGTTGTGATTTACAAAATCACTTTGAGGGAGTGACTGCTGAGATTAATGAAATACTTATTTTATTGGTGTACCATTTGTGAAGAGCAATATGGTGATTGTGGAATTGAGTAAAAACAAGTTGTCTTTTCCAGGGTAACTTTTTTTTTTTTTTAACAGGCTGACATAAATCTTTTAACGAGACTTTACATTTTACAACACAATTCACATTTTAGAACAGACACACCAGACACAAACACCAGACAGATACACACACACACACACACGTTTCCTCAAAAACCGAGGCGGACTTACACAGCACAGCACAGCCTTTTTTTTTTTTTTTTTGTGGGCGCCACCTGTTCTCCGGTTATTCTTTTATTCTGAAAAACATGGACGGAAGCGTAGCATTTCAGGTTGATGGAAGCGCAAATTAATAAAATTGATTGACGGCAGTGAGGAGAAGCTACTATCGTCGCACTTCTCCAAGGTGAGCAACAGCGGAGTTCTTTGGGTTTCCTGGTTCAGACCACCTGCAAGTGGAACAGAAACTAGGTAAGTGACAACTTCTGGAAACCTGTCAAACAGTTAAATCAATATTGCAGTTTCCCCGCGATAAGTTCTACTCTTATTTTTTAATCATACATTCTCTTGAAATGATGACTGTTAATGTCCATTTGGCGAGAATGGTTTACGTTGTTTAGGTTTCATGAAGGCAAGTGTGGCGTTTCATACAGCACCAAATGACTTTTACAACACGCAGGTGTTAACTTCGATTAATTGTTGCATCTCAGTCCCACACAATTATATTCATTAAACACGAAAATATTGACGAGAACATTTTTATTTTAAACTCATTATTGATACCCCTTTCCCCTATCTTATTTTTCATTTTACTCGGGGCAAACACATTGTTGTGTTTAATATACTACTATTGTGTATACTGTATACAGTGTATATACATGTTGATTGCCAAGGTGTGTTCAGATTTCATAACGGTGTTTTCACCATTAATGGCGTCTGGCATTATTTATTATGAGTCACTTTGATATACTAATTGCCGATGCTGTCACAAAACAATATAAAGTCAAATGAAAAATTTATACCAAGGAGAGATTATATTTTGGGTTATTTTGTTGACAGACATCTTTATGGAATACAGGTACTCGATGTACAATGTTATTATAGATGCTCCTAAAACTCAGAATTTCATTCAAAACTCATGTAGATACAAGACTGAAATGTCTCTAATATTAGCTAACTTTATTTAATGTTAGCATTTTTAGTACAAATGCAAAATGCGGAAAATGTGTTTCCTCACGGAGCTGGTGTTATAGCTGGTTAAGTCTAAGGTATTTTTCTTCATTAATTAACCGATAATAATAAAAAAAAAAATAAATAATAATAATACATTTCATTTATAAGCGCCTTTCAAGACACTCAAGGATGGTGATCATTAATGGTTTAGTGCGGGGGTTGGCAACACTCGGCTCTGGAGCCGCATGCGGCTCTTTAGCGCCCCCCAGTGGCTGCCTAGAGCTTTTACAAAACTTTTTGAAAATGGAAAAAGATATGAGGGAAATAATATTTTTTTGTTTTAATATGGTTTCTGTCAGAGGACAAACATGACACAAACATTAACGTTTTCCGATGCTGTAAAAATGTGTCGAATAAATATTAAATGTCAATGAATATTTGCGTCATAGCCTGCGACACGTTTCTATTAGAAGGGCGGGATGTCATTCAGAGGGCTGTTGTAAAAAAAAAAAAAATGCTGCTTTTCATGAACAATTCACCGAGGGTACTTGCTAAGAATGGGAATCTGGGCGACCAAGAGAAGCATTTTTAAATGGTACACGTGAGCTACAATAGTTAGCACGCTGCCAAAGTGCGTCCTCCATCTTGGCTGTTGCTCATTACGGCATGCATGTGTAAGTATGTGTGTATGCGCACGTGTGCGGTAACGGGTCAATCGCGGGAGGTTGGTTGTTTGAAAAGTAGATCTTCCGTCAAAAATGTTTGGGCACCCCTCCTCTACAGGATGAACTGCAGGGGTGAAAAAAAACCTTTTAATCATGAATGCTCGTTGTGTATTCATAGCCAACTTAGTCACGTTGATAGCAGGCTAATATAGCTCATATAGATACATACAGCATGTGTTGCCTTCATCATCACGCATTTTATTTTTTGCGGCTCCAGACATATTTGTTTCTTGTTTATTTTGGTCCAATATGGCTCTTTCAACATTTTGGGTTGCCGACCCCTGGTTTAGTGGTTCAATAGCTGACTTGTATGCAGCTGATTCGGGATCAATTCCCCCTCAATATCCCAATCACGATCACCTCATGATCGATTGGCAACGAGTCTTTTGCGGCAAGTCAGTTACTTCAACCTTGATGAGGATGATTGATAAAGCGATAAATAGGATGAAAGGATAAATGGATTCTGTTCAAGTGGACCCTCCAAATTCAATTCCCCTCATGAGTATGACACTTGTCAGAACTGCAGCTTATTCGTCGCCAGACAGACGATGGTTATTAACTTTGGAGCGAGTCCGCAATGTGTTTCGTCGCACCAGTAGCCAGCCGAAGCTGTCGCTAACTAGCAGCTTCTGCGTGAGTAGCACGGAGCTTCTCCTCAATCTCCGACAACCCGCCATAAGTGACGTGAGCCCAGCAAAGCTTTTTGTGATCATCTCCTCAATCTCCGACAACCCGCCATAAGTGACGTGAGCCCAGCAAAGCTTTTTGTGATCATCTCGGTGGTTCTTCTTATTCTGCTACTCTCGTTTGACAGTTGTCTTTACGTTTGAGTCTCAATTTTGCTATTCATTGTGCTTTAATGAGGGGCAAAATATACATTTTGTCCTGCAAATAGCACTGCAAAATTGCTTATTTCGTTTATGTACAGTATGTCATCCTCCCACTGGATGACGTAGGGAACTATGCAGTGACCAAAGCATACCCAAGTTGGAGCGATCGGCGGGCGATCAAAGCAGCTGCTTCAAAAACATTTGCCCGTGTATAGAAAACGTGTTTCCAAAGAATGCTTCACAAATTTTATAATGATATATGTAGGCCTGCCTGTGGATGAACTAGTGAGTGGCATACGTAGCAAATAATTTGTCAGTGAATGGGGGCGATTGAATGTGCGCAGCCAGGTTAAGAAGAGTCCACATGGTTGATCAATTTAGTGGATAAAACTCAAAATACTGAATATTAGATATAAAAAACTAAGACTTTGTTTTGATTTCATGTCATTTACTTTATGCATCAGTTGTACTGGTAGCCCAGTAGGGCCAGTTTAAATGAGCTTCAGGTGGCCCATCACACTCGCATGGTGGCGCCGGACCATCGGGCCACTGTTAATGTCGGAACCTGCATATGTTTAGCCGGGTTTTCTGCTGGAAGTCTAACAAAACCTGGCACTCATAAATACACATTAGAATGAGCATGTTCACAAAAACGTTCATTCAGCATAAATATACTACGTTGAGTTCATCCATCCATCCATTTTCTGTTCCGCTTTATCCACACAAGGGTCGCGGGGGGTGCTGGAGCCTATCCCAGCCGTCCTCGGGCAGTTGGCGGGGGACACCCTGAACTAGTTGCCAGCCAATTGCAGGGCAGACAGAGACGGACAACAATCCGCGCTCACACTCACACCTCGAGACAATTTAGAGTGTTCAATCAGCCTGGCGTTCATGTCTTTGGAATGTGGGAGGAAAACGGAGTACCCGGAGAAAACCCACGCAGGTCCGGGGAGAACATGCAAACTCCACACAGGGAGGCCGGAGTTGGAATTGAACCCGGTACCTCTGCACTGTGAGGTTGACGCGCTAACCACTGGACCACCAGGCCGCCCCGTTTCGTACATGTTCTCCCAAAATATGAATGAGTTCATTAATTTTTATTTGTTGAACTTGTTTCGGTAAAACACTGCCTATTTAATTTTTTTCCCCCCAGTATGATTTTTGCCGAACTCTGATTTGTAGCTGATCATTTGCAGAATATTCTGTTGTAGCTGCAACTTTAGAAGGTTAACTGGACAAATCGGCAGTCAAGAAAAGATTGCAGTGTACCCGCTGGCCTGACAGAGCACAGGGAGAATATGCACAAAAAGTTAAGTTACTTTGGACATGTCACATGAAGCCATGTACGCACAACTGTTTCCGAAAAAGTGTCCTAAATGTCCTTAATATCATTTGGGAAAAATGGGAGAACTCTTTTAATGCAATCATTTGGTGTATAGTCATCACCACGTCTCCTGTAACACACCGGGGACATCTAATGATAATGCCCCGGTGCTCTTTTCAAGTTTCTCCATTTAACAAGATTAAAGTCGCAGTGAAATACAAAGCAGATGTTGAGCCCCTCACAACCATTCACCAACCGTTGCTCTGACACTGCAGGCCCTTCCCCGTGTGGGTGGTCTTCCATCACATGTTTTGAACGTGTTCCTGCAAACCATCTAAGCTTACAAAATCAGCTGGTCTGCTGATCAACTGGTTTGGTGGTTGTCTTGTAGTGGCAAAGGTAGATGACAAGATCAAATGACAGAAGTCAAAGCTCAAAGCTCAAACTCCCATAATCGTCGTCCACAGAGCATAATTGCCGCAGTCATTTTTCAAGGTTTTTGCAAAGACAAGAAAAACCACAACTTTTACAACACACATTTATTGGCAATTATGTGGCCGACCATGGTGGGATCTTGAGCCTGGATTTATGGCTTTATTCATCTGATCTTGTCATCTACTTTTGCCACTACAAGATAACGACACAAAAAGGGAAATCTACAGAAGATCTTTCCAAAGTAGCATGTCATCTTATTTTCAAGAAGTTTTTGTTGTCAAATATTTGGGCTGTCAAATGACTGCATTTTTGAAAGTAATTCACTGTGCAATTTTCCATAATCAATTGTGATCAATCACATTTTTCTACTTCTACTATTTTCTACAAAGCTTGTAACACACTTTTACCTGAGTGAAATCTCCGAAAGAATCATCAAATGGAATGAATTTGAAGATTCACAGACTATTGTGATAGCCTTCTTTGATCCTTGAATACAAATACTCAACAGAATGATCAAGATGGACTCGACTCAATGTTGCCAAATCACAAGAGCGTTCAGCAACATGATGCTTCGGAAATTGTAACCAGTCATTCTGAACACTGTGGCCGCTGTCATAGAAGCCAGCTAGCAGGACTGTTTTCCACATGCTCAACTTGTCATCTCAGTGCTGAAGCAGCTGTCCGCTGGAATGATGGTGACAGAACACTGCTGCCTGTGCGGTCTATGCTTTGTCCGATACTTTCATCCCCTGCCTGTACGTGCACAATGCTTGAATGTGAAAGATAGCGGTGCAAAGAAATGCGGGAGCACTTGGACAGCGTGAGCCTTTTAGGAGGAGGGAGATTATACCCTAGCTGAAACAATATCTCACAGTTGCATTTCATGGTACAGTTTGGTGGTATGCACACATTTTATTTTCCTCTGTTGATTTTCCAAAATGTATGTTTGAATGCAAGAATATGGAAATAGGAAGCACATTTTCGTTCCGAATCTAAAGCCCAGTGGAACTAGTGTCCATGCCTTAAAAACAGTGTTGCATAAGCACACATCCAACACACTTGCAGTATTAAAAAAAAAAAAAAAAAAAACACAATTGAACTGCAAGTGGGCTTCTTGCATTTAGCTGCAATGGTGTTGAGTAGCACCATTAAGCAGAGTAGAACTGTACATGGAATGTTAAATATTTACATTTTGCCAAAAGCAGCTTACAGGTTAACGGTCTTCACATTGGTAAGACAACATGGAAGGTTTTTTTTTTGTTTGTTGCAAAGAATTGTTGCTGTTGTAGCATTGCCCTTCTGTTGAAGACTTCTGAGAAGAATGGCTTTGTGAGTGATTGTCAACCCCCCTGCCCCCTTAGTTTTTTTTTTTTTTTTTTTTTTTTACTCTCACGACTCTCTTTTCACTGCTCTCAATGCCTGTGTGCAGATTCTTTGTCATGATGACAAGTAGGTCCACAGATTTGAATTAGAAAACAAATACAAAAACGTGAATCATGACCCATGAGTCACGCAGCACCAAAATGTTTATTTCATTATGTCGGCTTGGGCGAATCACAGGACAGTGCATAGGGGGAAAAAAAACAAAAAAAAAAATGGTTGATTTGAATGGTAGTAATGTGTTTTAAAATAATGCTTACTTTACATGTTAACCTCATAAACTGAATAATACTTTTCATGTTTCTGTATTTTTGGGTCCCAAAAGTACAAATAATGTCATACTTTAAAGGCAGAGGGGTGAAAACGTGCTGAGTGGGGAATAAAAAATCGCAATTTCAGCGTGCAATTTTTATTTATTTATTTTTAGGTAAAAATCAAATGTCTGACCTAAGCGTTAGTAGCATGATGTTTGACCAACAGGGAATATTTACTGCCGAGAAGAGGCTGATGACATCTCCGTCATGTCAACATTCTTAACAGCTCAACATTAACCAACTGGAAAGGCAGAGGCGGCCGCACTTCAAACAAGACCCACATGCCAATGCTGAGAGTGCTATTTTAGGTACGTGATTCATAATTCAACACTCCCAATGTTAAAGCCTTTGATACAACTTGTTCTTTTGTGCAAAGTCGTCACATGTACAGTGAATATAATAATTCTGCACATGCCTGTTCCAATGCGAGGTTCTTGCATCATAGAAAAAAATGAGACTGAGATTATTCATTTCAAAACTTTTTCCATCATTAATGTGACCTGAAATCAAACAACTGAGTTGCGAGTAAAACCAAACAACTGAGATGTTGTTTTTGCACAAGTATGCACACCTTCTGGGGATGTAGGTGTGTTCTCAATTAATATCCACACTCATGTTAAATATGAGTCCACACACCTTGCCATCATTTAAAATTCCTCTGATGACTCCCTAATGAAGTTCAGATGTTCTAGTAGACTTTCCCTGACATTTTGTTGCCTTCTATCAGAGGCCTCGTGGTTTTGTGCTCTTTGGTACTGTTCCTAATTCCCTCCACTTTGACTAAACAATGGCTGGAAAGGATGCCGTCATCTTACTTCACAATAGTATTGGTGCTCTTTTGGTGATTTGATTTATTTGTCTATTTATTTATTTGGTTATTCATTCATTTATATATGTATGTATTTATAAAAGGAAAATGATTCAAAGCTACCTGACTGCTTTCCCTCTAAACCTAATAACTGGTTGCGCCACGCTCAGCAGCAACAACTGAAATCAAGTGGTTTCTACAACTAGCCATGAGTCTTTCACATCTTTGTGGAGATATTTTGGCCCATTCTACCTTGCAGAATTGTTTACATTCAAAAACACTGGAGGGTTTTTGAGCATGAATCGCATTTTTAAGGTCATACCACAGCATTTCAATTGGATTCAAGCCAAAACTTTGACCACGCCAGTCCAAAACCTTCATTTTGTCTTTTACTTCACCCATTTAGAAGTTGACTTGCTGGTGTGTTTTGGATCATTTGTCCTATTGCAGACCAACACACCAGCAAGTCCACCTCTGAACGGGTAACCTATAACTGCGCCTCCCAAAAAAAAAAAAAAAAAAAAATCAGGTTTTGTCGTGGCCAAATCAAAGTCCGGATTTGAATCCAATTGATATGCTGTGGTGTTAGAGAAATCTATGAGCAAAATTGTATCATGTTTAAAGTTTCATTGAATTTGGGCACATCTAAACGTTTGGGTGTGCATCCGGCACCCCCAAATGCCTGTGCACAAAGGTGCCGGCCACCTGGCCGGAGGGCTGTTGAAGTCCACAATTAGCACGTCAATGCAGGTGGGCGATCACAGGGGAGAGGGTGAAACTCGGTCACAAAAGGGGAATGAATAATTTGGGAACAGCGGTTGAACAACAAAAGACGAGTTGAGAACACCCGTCGCGCCCAGGCGACATTTGTCGTCCGCAAAGTCTGCAACATGCTGATACAGTGTAGACCAGACATTGGCGAATGTACCGGTGGTTCAAAGCTTAAACTCAGGTAACCAATCACTACCGAGGGGCCGGACCGGGGGTGCGGTATGCAAATGTCGGGGGCAGTGTTTTCCTTGTATGTTACAATAAAAGTCTGAATTGGCGGGAAGGGAGCTCGAGTGTGTGATCATCGGAGCAACTAAACTGTCGTTCGCTCTCAGAGATCCGCTCCGGCCGATATTGAAGACAATTTTCCTGTGTGCCGAGTCATTTCTTTAACTTTGTCTCTGACATGTGGTGTGACCTTAAATGGGCATTTCATGTTAGAAAACCTTAAATATGGCGGAGTTTAAACGATTGTGCAAAGAGTAATCCCAAATTCCTCCACAGCAATGAAATATTCATCACCAATTACAGTATTGCAAACGCTTGATTTCAGTGATGCTGCCAAGGGTGGCACAACCCGTGATTAGGTTCAGGGGGCAATTACTTCTTCACAGAGGTCAGAAAGGTTTGGATTTGTTTTGAGTTTTGACAAATTAAATTGGCATTTGAAAACTGCATTTTGTATTTCCTTGGAACAACTGACATTAAACTACTGTGCTGACATTTGTAAAAGGCACCATAAAATGACCGTAGGTGATGTTAATCTTGTTGACCTGCCACATACACAGTAAATACTAAAAAATGAGCAACACCTGAGTGGTAAAAGATTGTATGTGAATTTCCCAAATAAACACAAGCTATAAGACTCTGTTGTTTTTGAGACATTTTGACCAACATTTTAGCGTGAAATTTTGACGAGATGTGGATTACAGCATTTAAATGAAGGTTGTTGGATGTCTCACAGGAGCCATCCCAAGAGAAAAGCATCCAAACTGGTTCACTGCACTGTATGAGGCAGGTGGCTTGATGTCATCTCCAACTGGTAAACACCATCAGGGACCTTAAGTGCACAGTTGGTCCGCTTCACACCCCTGCTGAGGGCCCCACTCACATTCAGATGCCCACTTCACTCGCAGCCAATGTCTCTCCATGTGTGAGCTGATCCCACAGGGACACACTGCCATAGTCACTTCTTCACAAGTGACAACAACTGTTGCTCGCTGTGTCATCATGCATTTGCCAGTCTCTTCACATTAACCCTTTCATGCACCCTGTAACCTGATCACATGAAAAGCTGCCCATTGTAGTAAACGCTGTCCCCGGAAGGGTCAAATGAATAGTGGAAGTTTTATGTCATCCAAGCTGAAAATACCGAAAGACCCCATCTGCACCACACTTGTAAGTGAAATCATTTGTATTAAAATTCACACAGCAGCAGTCTCTATTCTGGTGTAGTCCCTCAACATTTTAACCATCCATGCTATTGCTGCAAATCTCGCTGGAGAAACCTGGTTTTGAATATGGTGTGCTGTCAAATATTTGAGCTATTTCCAAACTGCCTTTTATTGAGAAAAAAAAATCTGGAAAAAGTGGTGGACACAAATCTTTTTGGGATAAACATAAATTCATGGAGGTTTTCCAGTCAGTTTTTAAGACGTTGCATAGCAGCGAGTCAGCCCTGTTCCGGGTTTTTAATGACATCCTTCTGGGGAATGACACTGGGGACACTGTGACTGTGTCCAAATTCACAAGGCTGGGTCTTCCGAAGGCTGCATTTGTCGGCACTTTCCAGCACGTCTCGACTACAAATTCATGCGGCCTTCAAATCTGCCCTTTGTTTCCACGGTGACGGCCCCTGAGCAAAGCATACTTCTGTAAATAGCCACATTGCATTGCTCTCTATTACTTATGTGTCGTGTGTTTCTGGTGTTCTTTTTCTCCAAAATTTATTTTTGCCTGAATAATAACCATCACCAGTTGGTTGTAATGGCAGTGTTGATTTTTTTTTTAACCCGATTCAGTGCCGTATTCAAGGATTCAAAGTTTGTCTGTGTGTGTGTGTGTGTGTGTGTGTGTGGGGGGGGGCATGTCACATTAATCATTTTGATGGAACTGTTTTAAAAATGGTCAGCTTACTACAGTTTGCTCTTGTTTTGGTTCTGAATTTGGAAATGGGATTCAGTGCAGGGGTGGATCTAGTCTAGTGAGATACAGGGGCGTTGGCCACCCTAAAATCTTACAAAATCCTGAACAATTTACCTTATCACCTCTCACAGAAAGCTGCTATGGAATAGTTTTCCAAAATTAACTAGAAAATATTCACAATATGTACAGTAAATATTCTCTAGTGCGGACTCGTGTTTGCGCTGTCCAATTTGTCCTGATAACAGAAATTCCTCATTTGGGAAATGAGCATGGTACATGTCCTTTATGAACCTGCAAGTATGTTGACAAAATGCACGTGTAACAACACAATCAATAAAATACAAAAATATA